CGCATGATGCTATGAGATGAAATACAAGACATGAATAAAATGCAAAACGAAAGGCAAAAACCCAACCACGAAGGAAAATAACATAACACGTCTCCGAAAAAGGCAAGAGTTGGAGTTACAAATACGGAAAGTTGTATCCGGGGCGTTACATAAGTTTACTGTTTTGACTTCTTGTGGGAACTTCTTTTGTTCTCCGGTGCTCTGCTTGTGGGGTTCGTCATCGTCCTCGCTTGGTATGTTGAGCCCCTTATGTTCGACGTTGAGTTTGTCGGATTGCTTGAAGACCCAACAATCTCTGTGGGTATGGTTTGCAGGCTTCCCGGGAGTACTGTGGATTTGGCATATTTTGTCCAAGATTTTGTTTAGGTTAGATAGCTCGTCCCTGTTATCCTTGAGGGGCAGCTTTTTTTGATTCTGCCGAGAGCTTTTGAATCCGGCGTTGACTGCCGTGCTCTTCGGGTTGTTTCCCTTGGTCCGGCGCTGGTCCTTACTACGTCGCGGTTTCCCGTTTCCATCCCTTGGTCGTGGATGTACTTGGGTCGCTGGTACTGCTTCTTGCCAACCAGCTATCCTCTCCTGCGCAAAAGCGGGTCATGAGGCTTGTTAATGCGGCCATTGTTCTTGGCTTCTCTTGGCCGAGGTGTCTGGCGAGCCATTCGTCTCGAACGCTGTGTTTGAAAGCTGCTAAGGCTTCGGCGTCCGGACAGTCGACTATATGGTTCCTTTTAGTAAGAAATATGTTCCAGAGTTTCCGGGCTGACTCTGCGGGTTGTTGAGTTATATGACTTAGATCGTCTGCATCCGGAGGTCGGACATGGGTCCCTTGAAAATTTGCCCGAAAAGCATCCTCGAGCTCTTCCCAACTTCCGATGGTGTTTTCGGGAAGGCTTTTAAGCCAATGCCGGGCTGGCCCTTTGAGTTTGAGGGGTAAGTATTTTATGGCGTGGAGGTCATCTCCTCTAGCCATGTGTATGTGGAGGATATAATCCTCAATCCAGACTCCAGGGTCTGTTGTTCCGTCGTATGCCTCTATGTTTACTGGCTTCAATCCCACTGGAAATTCATGGTCCAGCACCTCATCGGTGAAACATAGGGGGGGTGTGGCACCCCTATATTTGGGTGTGCCGTGATGTTCGGATACTTGTTGTGTTGCGTTGCTTACTAGAGCTTGCTTTCTTGGCCCGTAGATAGACCTGGTTGGGCCGTCTTTTTGATGCGAATCCTTATGCCGATTGCGTGCCGGCTTGTGTGCGGCGCCATTTGCCGCTCTATGTTGGCCATGGGGTTGTTTATCCGACCTGGTGGCTTCCTTATTTTTTGATTGCGGTGGCTCTAAGGCCTCCTCATCAAATTCCGGCAATAATTTTCGCTTCGGATAGCTCTTTGTGTGGCGACTGTCGCCGTATTTGTCTGCGGTGCTGATTTGCCCCATCTAATTCTGAGTGCATCTTCCGCTGTTTTGAGCTTCCGCTTCTGCTTTTTCAGGCTACGCGCAGTGGCGACGAGCCTTTTGTGGAGGTTCATCTGCTCCAGCAACTTGTCAGGCGTGAGGTCGTCCGGACTATTATCTTCGCCGGAGACGGGTTGTTTGGTTTGTTTACCCAAGTTGCCCTGTTCGGACGGTTGCTCGATGGCATGTTCGTCGTCCGCCGGTTCGCCCTGCTCTGTGGCTGGGTCTGTATGGCTGTTGTCTCTGTCGAGGTGGGGTTTGGAGCGGCGCTTATGCCGCCGCTTTGACTGCTTTTCGAGGGAACGATCCCTCGTTGCGTCCCTTTGTTCATCGTCGTCGTTTCTTTTAGGTGTGTCCACCATGTATACATCGTGAGATGAGGTGGTTGTCCAGTGCCCTATAGGCGCTGGTTCCTGTTCGTCTCCTACATCGTCGTCCATACTGTCGATGTCTTCGGAGTTGAAGTCGAGCAAGTCGGTTAAATCATCGACAGTGGCTACGAAGTGGGTGGTGGATGGGATTTGAATTTCTTCGTCATCCGCATCCCATCCTTGCTGACCATAGTCCGACCAGCGCTCTCCTGATAAAGAGAGAGACTTTAGTGAATTCAGAATGTCGCCGAAGGGCGAGTGTTGAGAGATGTCCGCGTCGGCGAACTCCATGATCGGCATCCAATCGGATTCGATCGGCAGGGGCGCGGAAGGTTCGGAGTTCGGGGAGGAGTCCGGCACCTTGAGTCACGGGCTTCGCAGAGGACAAGGCTGGTGTTCGGCTCGATCGCCGTAGAGATTGCAGCCCCCGAGGCGGTGTCCAACCACCCGTCCTCGATTGGCGCAGTTGGCTCTGAGCTAAGGGTCGGACGGACACTGGTGCGGCCTCCTGGGCACTGTTCGGCGGCAGAGCTAGATCATGCCCATCGTGACAGTGTGGCGCGCTCGGCTGTGGCTCGAACCCGTCAAAGATCAAGTCTCCGCGGATGTCAGCCCTGTAGTTCAAACTTCCAAATCTGACCTGATGGCTAGGGGCGTAGCTTTCGATCTGCTCCAGATGGCCAAGCGAATTGGCCCGCAGTGCAAAGCCGCCGAATACGAAGATCTGTCCAGGGAGAGAAGTCTCACCCTGGACCGCATCGTTGTTGATGATCGGAGGAGCCATCGGGCCTAAAGATGACGACATAGAGGAACTCTCAATGAAAGCACCAATGTCGGTGTCAAAACCGGCGGATCTCGGGTAGGGGGTCCCGAACTATGCGTCTAGGCGGATGGTAACAGGAGACAAGGGACACGATGTTTTTACCCAGGTTCGGGCCCTCTCGATGGAGGTAAAACCCTACTCCTGCTTGATTAATATTGATGATATGGGTAGTACAAGAGTAGATCTACCACGAGATCAGAGAGGCTAAACCCTAGAAGCTAGCCTATGGTATGATTGTTGTTCGTCCTACGGACTAAAACCCTCCGGTTTATATAGACACCGGAGAGGGCTAGGGTTACACAGAGTCGGTTACAATGGGAGGAGATCTACATATCTGTATCGCCAAGCTTTCCTTTCACGCCAAGGAAAGTCCCATCCGGACACGGGACAAAGTCTTCAATCTTGTATCTTCATAGTCCAGGAGTCCGGCCAAAGGTTATAGTCCGGTCATCCGGACACCCCCTAATCCAGAACTCCCTCAGTGGACATACTTCATTACTTTCATTGTCACGATATATAGAGTCAACGTCAATGTCGATTAGGTGGTACTACCATCGTCCTAGTTTATTGGTCCCCATTGCATTTTTGGCAAAAAATTGACCTTAAATTTAACTAATAAAATATTAATGCATGTACCAAAGATATTATTATTGGAAACTATGTTTAAGTACGAATCCAACAATACAATTTTTGATGACATGCATTATTATTTTGTTAGTTAAATCTATGATTAAAATTTGACACTAAATATTAAGAGACCAATAAATCAGGATTTAGTTAGTACTGAAAGTTGGTAATCATGGACTCATGGTGTTGGTCAATGATGGCGCGATGAATACGTTAAACTTGAGTTGATCCAGTCACCTGGCGTGAGATTTTCATCATAGTTACTTCACATAGTCTCGACACAAAAATCTACACTTTTTCAGAAAAAAAGATGCCTAGGCCCTCTACAGCGTAGAATAGTCTCTCAATTTGAAGGTATATTCAACTCTAACTAGAAGCACTTAAAGCTAGCCAGTTGTATGAAAATATAATTAGCGCTAGACTATTATTTGCTTAAGCCCAAGTTGCACATTATTTGAAGATAATCAACACTAGACTATTATTTGTGTAAGTCGGTGTCACTGGTCACTTTCTTTCCGATCCAATTACATATATCAAATATCTTTTGAGGCGGCGAAGATTCTTTGCCACTTGCATGGGCACCATATGCAGTCAACATCAATCCATGGTATCAATTATGCGGTAAAGGAGTACGATGGTTGTGATATCGGTCATCGATAGCAACAACACATTCGTCTCGCATGCTGGTTTTCATTTATTTATTTATTGCTCTTTCATCTTTTACAGTCAAACTCAAAACTGGAGTTGGCTGGTAAAAGTAAAACGTCCATCATAATCAAAGCCATCTCTCCAACACGTGGACACAGACACTTGTTCGACAAGTGGGTGCAGATCCATGCTCTAAGTACCTGCCGTGTAGTAGAATAGTTTCTTATCCCGAAGTTTTGTGTTATTCTACTTAAAAGCATTAAAAAGTAGCCGAAAACAAGCATGAGACAGAAAACGGTCGCCCTTTAAGCGGCTAGACAGATATAGATAGAGATAGATAGATAGATAGATAGATATAGATAGACTGACACGGCGACTTGCATCGTCATCGTCCGTTGGTCGTGCACGCAGTTTCGCCGGAGACCGGGCCAAAAGGCCCCCCCTCCGCTCGGTCGAGACAAGTCAGGGAGGCGAAACTGAAGCGCGGAGGCGCCGCGCAGCCGCAGCCGCTCGCGCCCGTGACTCCACGTACGCCCCGCAGGCCACGCGCTCCGTCCGGCGCCAGCGCGAGCGTTTCAGCTCCGGCCTCGGCTCCGCCGCGAGCCACGCCACGCGTCCCCCCTGTCACGACATGTGTCCTGCCGGGAGGGCGGCGTCTCGTCGCGTGTCCGCGCTTCCCAAACTAGCCCTCCCCCTCTCTCGCACCTCGAAAGCAAAAGGGCAGGGCGGAGGGCCCCGGAGACGAGCAAATTATTTTTGTTGCGACGGAGCGTCTCCTTCCTCCTCTCCGTGCGAGGCAGCGGCGAGCAGAGCAGACCGGAACAGCACATCACCGGCTCTACGTCAATGGCGTCCACCTCCCTCCAAGGCTGCGCAATCCTCGTAAGCCGCGCCAGTCTCCTCCTATGCTTTCGTTTCTCTCTCGCTTCGCTGGCCTTAATTGTGCTTGGTTCCTGACTGTCCCTCCCCGCGGCGGCAGGCTCTTCTCTGACGAGCGCGGGATCGAGCTTCCTCTGACCCAAGCAACGACTCCGTCCGGGAGCTTCCTCTGTCCAGTGACCAGTTCGTGGCTTCGCCGGCGATGGAGGCCTACTCGAGGGACCTGCTGCGCGGCGTCGGCGGGGGAGGCGAGACCGGTCGCGGCGAGGAGAAGCCGCGGCGCCTGGATTCGCAGGCCGAGGAGGTCGAGCTTAGCCTCGGCCTGTCGCTCGGGGGGCGATTCGGGCAGGAGAGGAGGAGGGGCGAGGGGCTCGCCAGGTCCTCGTCCGTCGCCTGCATCCAGCAGGTGGCGCCGGCGCCGCCCGCGCTCCCCAGGACAAGCTCCCTGCCGCCTATGGCGGAGGCGGAGGCGGGGAACAACGCCGCTTCGCCTAGGAGCGGCGCTGAGGTCCAACCGCAGGGGAGTGGTGTCGCTCTGAACGGCGTCGTGGTAGAGCCCGCAGCTTTGCCACGGGCGAGGTTGAGCCCCCCGTCCACAGGCTCGTCGGGCGGCGTAGGGAAGCTGCGGGCGAGCGTGAGCCCCCCGTCCACAGGCTCGTCGGACGGCGAAGGTACGTCTTTTTCTTTTCTGTCTTATGTTTCAATGTGACGGTACTAATTTTGTATTAGTCATGTGGTAGTATTTTATTAGCTCAATTAATTCTCAAGCTCAGCAATGTGGTAGTATTAGTACCTTCATACATCTCATTTCCAAAAAAAAAAAAATGCACACATCTCACTGGTAATATATTGTGTTAGGTAGGCTTAACAGATATGATTGTTTTTATCTGGTACAAAGGACATGAATAGTTTCATTGTTCCCAAGAAAAATCTATGAGCATAGATGCAATCATGCAATGCACATTAGGAAAGTGGAATTAGGGATTGCCATTTGCCAATTGCACCTGGCCAGTGAATAAAGTACACCAGTAGTATATGGAGTAAAAGGCGCCCCTGTTTCTCTCTGGAGTATAGCTGGGCCGCTGGATCTTAGGTGGATTCAGCAAGCTAAGGTGATGTGTTACCATCTGTGTTTCCTTGTTGGCTGTCTTACAGCTCGGTTGGCTTGCTTATTTGACAACTTCTACATTAGTATAATGGATTTGTCCTGTTCACAACTATTTGTGTGCCAGGGTCTATTAGAACTCTGCCATGATTTGTGTACCAGTGTAGGAAGATGGGAAAGCAAGGTATAAGCAGGGTGTGTGGTAGCTGCCTGGGCGGCCATCTCTAGCCTATTATAGGGATAGAAAGTACTAGGGCCGCCGAGACAAGCAATTATTAGCTCACTAGCTTGTGTGTTTTTTCTGTAAAGTGGCCAAAATCCATTTATTCAAGTCGACCAACCCTTACAGGACCATCCTTAAAGAAACAAAACCTTACACATGGCTCCCGGGGAAATTGACACCGTCTTCCTCCTGCACTCGCTAGAGATGCGCCATAAGCAATGCTTCATACTGCACTTGTACCTCCGAAACACCGCTGGAGCCAAGGAATGTTGTTGATGTAGCGGCCAAGAAGTTGTCGGTGGAGACAGAAGATGTCGACGAAAACATATCGCCGCCTCGGAGAATGCAACGAAGAAAGTTGGACGAGCAACCTAGATTCGGACAAACGGGTCTGGCGAAACCTAAGCTCATTAGTTCCCGGGCGAAGCCGAAGCTGGCCGAACTTCATCGTTTGGAGGAGGAGGCAGTGGACCAAGAGACGAAGCGCATCGTCTCCTCCGCTAGAGGACGCCTTTGACGACCACCTCCGCCAGAGGAAGCCTTCAACGACAACCTGCAAAGCATGAAGAGGAACCAGATCCTCCACACACCAGAAGAGCAGCGACTAGACAATCCTCCATCCTACTCTAAGGCGCTAACAAGGCCGTCGCCAACAAGTTGGGGAAACCTTACTCTTATTCTACACGGCACTGTCGTCGCCACCACATCACCGTCGTCGGGGAACCAAACCCTAAGTACAGTGTCATTGGGCAGACTAGGTTAAATGCATGTCATTTGTTTCTATCTTGTGAAGCACATGGCGCTTTGCGAACATTTATTATTCAAAGGTTGTACATGATTTCTATGCCTTACTCAACATGACATTGTTGGACAAGACAAATAGCCCTCGACCTACACGGATTTGGGATATCATAGCCAACAATCAAAGTTGGACACCCGTCGATGTTTGTTGGTGGTGAACAAGTCGAAGACATGCTCTATCCTAGTTCTGATGCTCGCCATTCTGGTGTAGTTTGTGACGCCAGTGAGGTTTGCTTACCTAGTGTAACATTTCAGTCTTTTCGAGAGTGGCATCAAAGGCTGCCATTTCAATGTATCTTGTGAAGCACATGATGACCATTCAAACATTTATCTGGATGTGGTGCACGATTTCGGCTACTTACTCAGCATGATATTGTCGGACACGGCATCAATACAAATCCGAGCGGCCATATTTGGCAATCGAAGTTCAAAGCTCATCAAGGTCTATCGCTGAGGAACGAGTCGAACCCCTCGGCCATCCTAGTGCGTATGTTTGTTGTTCCAGCATACCTTGCGAGGCCAATGTGCTTGTTTATCTGGTGTAACATTTACTCATTTGGCAAAGTGGCATGAACGCTTGTCATTTCTCTATATCTTGCGAAGCATATGATCCTTGGTCAAACATCTCTTTGGAGGTGGTACACGGTTCTTGTGCCTTATTCGGCATGATATTGTCGGACATGGCCAATAACGCTCAAATGAAACACGACTTCGGGCGGTCATATTCGGCAACGGAAGTTCTAAACCCATCAAGGTCTATCACCGAGGAACAAGTTGGACACCATTGGCCATCCTACTGCGGATGCTTGTCATTTTGGCAAACCTTATGATGACACTTTACGGGTATACCTAATGTAACGTTTTACTCGTTTGGCAAAGTGGCATCAATGCTTGCCATTCCTCTATATCTTGCGAAGCACATCATACTTGGCCAAACATTTTGTCGGATGTGGTACACGGTTCCGGTGCCTTATTTGGCATGATATTGTTAGACATGGGAAATAACACTCAAGTATGACGCGAATTCTTCCGGGATGGTACCCGGTTGTTGTGCCTTATTCGTCATGACATTGTTTGACATGACAAATAACACTCAAGTATGACACAAATTTGGGATGCCTTGTTTGGCAACCAAAGTTGGAACCTGTCGAGGTCTATGGCTGAGGTACAAGTCAAACATTATCAACCATCCTAGTCCTGATGCTCGCCATTTCCGTGTACCTTGCATCGCCGATGTGCTTGCTTACCTAGTATAGCATTTTTTTTCGTTTGGCAAAGTAGCATCAGCTATTGCCATTTTCTTGTTTCTTGTGAAGCACATGAGATGGTCATATTCGGCGACTCAAGTAGGAAACCCGTCAAGGTCTATTGTCGAGGAACAAGTTGGAACTCGTTGGCAATCCTAGTTCCGACGCTTGTCGTTCTGATTCTTGCGATGTCATTGTGCTCGATTGGCAGAGTAGCATCAAATGTTGGCCATTTCTTTTTATCTTATGAAGCACATGATAGCTGGTCAAACATTTATCTGAACTTGTTACATGATTTCGCTGCCTTATTCAGCATGATATTGTTGGACACGGCATAAATAACACTCAAATCTCACACAAATTTGGGCCCTCATATTCGGCAACCAACGTCGGAACCTCGTCAAGGTCTATCGCTTAGGAACAACTCGAACGTCGTCGACCATCGTAGTCGATTGCCATTTCTATGTATCTTGTGACGCTGATGTGTTCTTTACCTACTCTAACATTTACTCGGACATGGTGCCGGATTTGACAATCGAAGTTTGGACACCTGTCGAGGTCTATATCATCGAGGAACAAGTTGATCATTGTTGGGCATATTAGCTCTGAAGCTCGCTATTTCGTTATACCTTGTGATGGCCATATGATCGCTTACGAGTCTAACACTTATCAAGACTTGGTAGAGGATCTTGATGCCTTATCCAGCATGACATTGTTGGATGTGTCAAAAACACTCAAATCCGACACGGATTCGGGGTGCAATACTCGACAATCGAAGCTACACACCCTAGAGGTCTATCGTCAAGGAAGAAGTCAAATGACGTCGGCCTCATAGTTCTGGTCGACATTCCATTGTACAATTATGCCCTCACTTACCTAGTGTAAAATACTGACTCAAACGCAATATTGGATTTTGGTGCCTGATCCAACATGGGTGTTGACTTGGCAACCGAAGTTTGGCAAGGATGTCCGAGCAATGCTGGAGATTTTTTTTTTTTTGACGGCAACAATGCTGGAGATGTTTGTTGCACGGTAGTACCTTGATTATTTGGTACACCAAGGATGCCATATCAAGCATGTTTTACGGTGTCAAGCCTACGTGCTCGCTTAGCTAGTCTAATATTTACTTGGATCTGGTATCAGATGGTGCCCGATTTTGGCATGATATCTTTTTGGCATGGCAAATAGCATTCGAATCCATGAATCCACATGGATTCGGAGAGTCAGACTCGGCGATCGAAGTTAACACGGATGTCCGAGCAACACTAGAAATGTCCACTGTACACCAAGGAAGCTATTCCGAGCATGGATTTCGGCAGCCCCGTCACGACCACCACTTGTCGTCGGCAAGAGACATCACACATTCACACATGATTGGTTGCCAGAGTGCAAGTTGGCAAACAACCCTCCCCTTCTCCCAGACCAGATCCCCCCAAAACATGCTTCCATATGGTGCACATATTCCCCTTTGTTTCATTGCCTTTAATATTTACGTCTGCATGATTCATTTTTGGTCTAAATAACCATTTTGCCTCAAGATTAATTAGATATATTTTCAAAAGGGTCTATTGGAGCGGATATATTAGTATTATGCCGAACATGTGGTTAAAAAGTTCGTTCCATTGATACAGGGCAAGTTTTGAACCAGCCAACCACATCATGATTGATGAAAGTGGGGTCTTATTCTTATATGCCAAAGTTATTTCGTGGTAGAAAAAAGGTTTCCAGTACCGTTACTAGTATGCATTTTCATTGGGAGTCTGCTGGTTTCTCGTTGTTCCTTACTTGTTGAAGCACGCCAATATAGTGTACTGGGGCATTAGGGTCATCTCCACATCTATTTATGTAAGATGTCAATTATACATTGGTCCAGTCAAGAACTTCAGTATTGCCTGAAATGACCATCAGTACTATCAAGTGTTTTCTTTCTTTTTTGTAAAGGGTGTTTTTGTAAGGACATGTGATACTTAATATATGGATCCAGTTTAACCCATCATCTTGCCATATATAAAGTACTACTCCCTCCGATCCATAATAAGTGTCGCAGTTTTGAACTAAGGTTGAACTAACCTTAGTGCAAAACTGCGACACTTATTTTGGGTCGGAGGGAGTATTAGTTTAAGCGAGGGTGCATTACTTCGAGGATGGTCTGACAATATCTTCTGCAGGAATCCTCGTGAGGACAAGTTCACTCCCTGCTGGCATCGAGGACGGGTGGAGGAAGAGGAAGCTAGCAGAAACTCTGAACAAACTCGAAATGAAGAGGAGTATCGACAGGATGAACTCTTCCAACGTTTCTGTAGGGGAAGTTGGAGAGAACCCAGATGAAATGAGTGAGCAGGCAGGAGGAAAGGCAACAGTACAAAGAATGAACCGTACCAATGTGAGGCGTCGCTTGAGTGGGCTTCCTCCACCATATCAGCCTCCAGCTGCATCACAAGGTCCGAAAAGGAATTCAGCTTTGAAAGGTATAATTAAGCTTTGAAAGGCTGCATCACAAGATATTTTGCTATATTGCATTCTTATGCTAGACTACATAACATAACAAATTCCGTGTCACAATTCGCAAGCATGGTACTTTCATCTGACAATGCTACGTTCCTACTTGCATGCTTACCTCCGTGTGTTACCCTTCAAAAATTATGCCATTTTAATCATGTAGTAGGTACTTGGCTTTGCCGTCTGAACTACCAAGCCAAGCAACATACACCCACCAAATTAAGTTGTGGCTTAGATTCATCCTGCCCTCTGGACCAAAACCGTGCAGTTACAGTATTTGTCCTATTGAACATGTCCTTGAACAGGAACTGCAAGGATACCAATAATTGACTATGCTAACCAACCCTCGTTGTAAAGCAACTACTGATAGATTCGGACTGTTCTATACATGCTGTTGTTTAGTAGTAACTAGTAGCAGTTGGTTTTTATTTCAATGTTCCTACCTTGTACTCCCTCTGTAAATTAATATAAGAGCGTTTAGATTACTAAAATAGTGATCTAAACGCTCTAATATTAGTTTACGGAGGGAGTATCAGATTCTATCAGATTTGCTTCTGTTGATTACTAAGGTATATGTTGGTGTGTAATCTTACAGGAACTCCTGGCACTCTAGGGCGGAGCCTGTCATCGGCTGTTCTGCCCTCGTCTGTGGGTGCAAACAGCAGCGCCGTGGCAACCTCTTCATCTTCAGCATTGGCGGTGAGAGCAGCAGCCCCTGGCATCTCCATAGGGGAGCAGAAGGATGGTTCGGAATGGCCGGCGGCAAGAGCTACTAGGACTAGGAGCGTGGCAGACATGGTGCGGAAGATGCCAGTGGTGTACACCAGCGGGCTCCGCAACGGCGAGAGGATCGACGGCTTCCTGTACCAGTACAGCAGAGCTGAGGAGGTGAGGATTGTGTGTGTGTGCCATGGTAGCTTCCTGACTCCGGCGGAGTTTGTGGCGCATGCTGGAGGCGGCGAAGTCGCCCACCCGATGAGGCACATCGTCGTGAACCCCCCGTCGTCTTCGCTCTAGACCGGCGCGCGCATGCATGCAGGTGGTGCAAGTGCTCCGCGTGTGGCTTCAGCAGCCCTAAGCTTAGCTTGGAACTAGAAATCTCATCGTGAGACTGCATTTTATGTTTTACAGACTGCACATCACAGTACTTACTTATTATCCTAAACTGAAGACATGGTGGGAGATTTGCTCCTACAGACAACTAAATAGCAAACATATGACAGATTGAACATCACTCGTTGTTCTGGTGATCATCACTTGTTTCCTGCTGTTATTGTTGTTGTTGTTGTTGTCGTTGTCTTAAGACCAAAGGGTCTGCAGCCATGGTCTTGTAGATACAGTAGCAGCTTGTTGGTGGCAACCAGCCTGCTGGAGCAAATTTTATGAACCAGCGACTGGTCAGTTGTTTGGTGGCTTCTCAAAGCTACCAGCAACCAGTCACTAGTGATGGAGCACCAGTTTCATGGAGTCAGTAGCTAACCATGTTCCTGACACCCTACAACTGATGCAACATCTTCATCACATCTATAGAGTACTTTGTTAGCCTGGTCACCATTCATGATGGCGACTGATCTTAGTGGCTGGCTTCTCACGGCTCCCAGCAACCAGTCATTATTGATGGAACCTGTTTCACATGACACCCAGTCTGAAGTGATGAACATCTTAACCGCATCTTCTGAGTTGGTAGCTTTCCATGGAATACATTGTTAGTCTGGTATACATCTTCAGGGCTTGTTCAGTTTAGAGAAGATCGAGGTAGTTAACCCCTACAAAGTCAAAAGATCCTCCCCCAAACCTTCCCAGCAACCAACAAACCAAATCCAACCCAGCAAGCCCAGCAGCGCAAGGCTGAGACTACCTTGTGGTGCTCAAACCTAGATAGGTGGATTCACAACGTTTATACACCTATACATTCCCAGGACACAGATAAAGAATAGTGCAGTGATTCTTGCATACTAAGCCACGAGGACACTTGTTCAGAACATATGTTTAACATCAGCTAGCAGTGGATCTGCATTCATGCTTGTCTGATGGAGAAGGAATTTGCAGATCAAACAGATAGAACAGAAGAATACTCCGATGTCCTCCAAACCGAACGTCTACATATATAACACAGGACAGCAAAAGCGTTTAAGTGATCACTACATTTGAGGAGCGACACGGCAGAAAGACACAGCTGAAGCAGCACTACACTTCAGGAAACTTGGGGCCAAAACATGGCTTCATCTAGCAAAGCGGTGAGCCTGGATGTCTCATATCTCCTCAAGGGGAGCAGGCAGGCAATACTCTTGCATCTTCTTCCAGCAGGCGGCGGTGAGCTTGGGAGTCTCCTCAAGGGGAGCAGGCATACTCCTCTTGCATCTTCTTCTAGCTGGAGGTGAGCTTGGAGATCTCCTCGAGCTGGTACCTCGCTTCAGCGGCATAGTCGACCGGCGACTCACTCCTCACGGTGATCCTCTGCCTCTTCTCTCCCATGTACTCGTTCTGCACGACACTGACGCGGAACAGGTGGGGAATCCAGGTGGCTTCCTTCAGCTTGAGCTGGAACATGTCATCGCCCTCCTGCAAACAGAATTTGACAGTCTTAGGCACAGATCACAGAGCAAGCAACATGTCTACATTCTGAATGGTGAGGCGTGAGTTTTTACCTCTTTCCTGATCCGATCAAGCTCATCTGCACTGCAGCCAACGATCCTCTCTGCTTGGTCATTGAAAAGAGACAGCCAGGCCTCACCAGTGGGATCAGAGACCTTGATCACCATGATGTACCTGAAGAGCCACGGTGAACAAGGCACACTTAGCATTGGTATTTCACGGATCGTTAAATGGCAGTAGCATGTGTTTACTGCAACTGAGTAGGACTGTTACCTCAATGAGCACTGTTCATAGTTCTTCTGGCACCCTTCACACCAGTATCCTGATCCGAGTGACTCAGTCACCTTCTTGTTGCAGGTGGTGCAGGCACGGTACCACATGGTCTGGTCAGGCTTGATGTTGCTTATGTTGGCATACAGGCTGAAGAAAACAGGCTGCAAAACGATTTGAATCAGCTTACTGCAGGCAGTTGCAAGTTTACTGTCATGAATTATTCAGATTCAGATGCACTTTGTACTGCTAACAAGCATTCAAAATCTTACCTTATCCTGGCCCAAATTAGGGTCACTTGTGATGTGAGACAGAAAAACTCTGTCAGAGTACATTGATCTCAAGCCACCAGCGTTGGATGCACCCATTCCAGCACCAACTGATGTCAAGGTAGTACCCTTGCCTTCAGATTCATACCTGTTCAGCAAACAATGTGGTCATTATCTATAACAGAAAAACTGAAGAGCTAATCAAAAGAAGCATCGTTTAGCATCAGGGCCTTACCAAGCCCTAAGCTTCTCAGTCTCAGGCAACTCTGGGTTAATCACAAGTGTGCTTTTGCCTACTGTAGAAACAGACACACCTGGTAGAGAAATTTAGTAACAAGCTGTTAGCACAAATAAAATAAAATTGTTCCCCACAACAACAACAAAATTGTTATCCAGAAAAGAATTTATGGAAGGGGACCAAGAGCCTACCTTGAAAGTCAGATACTTTCAGGCTCTTCACTGCAATGATAGGTGCAGAGTCAACCATGTCCAAGAGTTCCTCACCAACAGTGGTGGCAAGATCATTCCAAAGAGAAATGGTGACAGTTTTGTTCCTGCAATCAAATTAGTTGTACATCAGAACATGCACCACCTTTCAAGCTATTAATATCACATACACCATATGCTAAGATATCAACAAGTTAAGTTGATGCTTACGAGTCATCTGCAACAACAATGTCACGCTTGGGGATTGACTCATTGTCAATCTTTCTTCTGATACTCAGAGTAGGTGATACACTCTGAACAACACCAATGATATCTACAGATAAAAGATAGAACAGGGTAAATTAATCAGGCTGAATGCAACAAGTTACTAATATAGCTCACTGAATTTAAGCAATTCAGCCTCACCTACTAACTCCCTGCCACCAACATATGGCCCCAGCATATCAATCTTGACAAAGTTGTATTGCACTGGCGGAATGAAAGATTCTCCCTCAGCTTCTTCAACAACAGCATTCTCACTCAGGGTCATCTCATAGTCATTCTGGACTGTCTTGAACTGCTTGTTTGCAATTCTGAGCGACCCCTTGGAGATGTAGTAGACCTTCCCAAGCTCAAACACGGGATAGAACTTCTTTGCGGGCTCATTGAACATGGTGGCCTGGATCTGGGTGCCCTGTACACAGATCAAGCAGAGTCAGCTTACAGTTACAACTTGGTTTGGCAAATACATGTATCAAAGCATTTGACAGGGAACTTACATCCTCGTCAGTGAGCTCTACGTTAAAGACATGGCCTTCTCCACGGGCATTCCTGTATGACCTGAGGTTGCCCTTGTTTGTGACCCGCACCTTGATGACCCAGTTGCCCTGGTAGGGGTTGAGGGAGATCAGAGGATGCACCCGTCTCGTCATGGCCAAGCGAGCAGCAGGAGCAGCACTGCAGACACAGAAGTGACAGAAGTGAGCGTCAATTCTTGACAAATTTCATCAGCAGAACAGTAGAGTAAGGACACAGCTCTGCAAGAAGAGCTTACTTTCCGCGCTGCTCGCTAACAATCTGGGAGGCGGACTTCACGTCGTGCCTCGGCTTCAGCATAATCGCAGCCGGGGCCACGCCAATGGGCTTGGAGAGGACCGCAGCCTCCTCCTTGGGCTTCATGAGAGCCGCTGGCTCTTCCATCTTGACCTCGCTCTTGATCTCGGCATCAAGCGCCTGGGACACGACCTCGCACTTGGTGATAATCACCATCCTGCCGTGTACCGTACAAAGCACGGTGTTCAGTGAAGGATGAAACGGATCTGTAAGAACGGCGGGACGGGAGTGGGGATTGTACTTACTTGTCCGTCTTTTGTGGGATGTCGTTGCATGTGTAGTTGAGGATGCGGACGAGGCCCAGGTTCTGGAGCTTGCCGGAGTGGACCTCCGACGCGAAGTGGGTGGAGAGGATCGCCTTGACCTTCGCCTCCCCGTCGCTGGCCATGAAACTGCGAGGCAAGAAGAACAGTCCGTCAGGAACACATTTCATACAGGGGGATATCGGCACAAAGAAGAACAGATCTGTGCAGGTACGGGGCAAAATGGAGAGATCTAGACAGATTCTGAAGACAAACGAGCGAT